GACCACGTAAAATATCATCTTTGTAGAGCCTCGTTCCACAAATTATTTTGAAAATTAAAAAAAGATTCTCTAACTTTTTCATCAAACCTGGTGCATCGACATGGTGGAAGGTGGACGAGCCCACGAGGTCTGACGTTAAAGGTACCGGTCGCGAGATGTACGAGCAGGTTGAACAGAAGAGAGAGAACGAGAGAATAAAGTGTGCAGAGGGCGCTACAATGGAGTTGGCACGGTCTGCGGTCATAGAATCATGGCTGTCTATTCAATGAGCTCGAAAATAGCCTTCTCCAACAGATATCTCGAGGGGATTCCCCTGGACGGGGAATGTATTTTACGAAGGTGCACGACCCGCTCTGTACTTCTAATACCGCGTATCTGTATTGTTAAACGGCAATTCTTTAGAGAATAATATCGGCCCTCGAGATGTTACGTCATCGCTCTTATCCGAACTTTCCACAAATTGATTACGAATTCCAAAAATTCCTATTACTCAAGATCCGCGCATATTGTTATTTAAAGGGAAGATCGTTCAAACATCCACGATTCCAATTTTCCACAAATTTATCACCGCCAAGTTTCACTCGTTTCACCTTCACGCTTCGTTTCGCTTCGGTGTACGCAAACATTCGTGGCCAGATTACGATCATTCGTCCACGAACACCAATGTTCACGAGTCGTCAAAGACGTCGAGGCGGGACAACGGTTTAACTTTGCCACGATGCGGATGATGGTCGAAATGAACCGCGAGATTCTTTACCGAGCCGTTGCGGCGGGGATTAATCTTCCGTGTCCACGATGCTCCTCCGAATATATATATATATATATATATATTCTCTTATATATTCTCTTCACCGACCCATTGACAATTTTCACGTAGAATTAATCGAGCATCGCTGAGCCCGTATTGGACGAATCTTGTTGTACCAGAGGCCATGTTGAATTTTGAAGACGAAGTTTGAAGGGGAACGAAAGTGGCACAATCTTGATAACCGTGTGGATTGGCGGGAAGGTAGAAGGCGGAGAGGTAAAAGGGTCGTCCAGGAGGTCACTGCCGAAGGAGTCGTAAGAGGAAAGAAGGAGGGAGGTGGAACTGAAGCGCGGGGAGGGGGGGGAGGAGGAGGAGGGAGACACGTTGCCCTCCATGAATCACGACACGGAGGCTGATTTAGAGGCTCAGAAGTTGTATAGGTGCTGGCTGCCCTCCTCTCTAACCTCTCTAACGCGCGAAAATCTACCCGTGCGTGTAGATCCCATCCAATCGTATCAACTTCGTGTATTTTTTATCGTTATAAAAATTAGCCTTCTTACCCACGATACGATATTTTTCACGAAACTATTCGTGTTAATAAGTTTGAAAAATGTATCTTACCGATCGATGAATCGACCTAACCTAAAACAAATTAGCATCCAAATCAACTGGATTTCGCTTCGATACGAGGATACAATCACGCAAGAAAAGCGTGTGTGTGTGTGGGAGATTATTAAAGTGAAGGGTTGGTGCCGGCGAAAATCGGGAACCGAATTAAGACGGCGGCCGCGCTATCAGGGCCGCCGGAGTCCATGAAACAGACGAATAAATTAGAGGCAGTGCCTGCCCATCGAGAGCGGCGCACTGATAAATCTCTGCGCACGCTCGCGCAGATGCGAACCGCATGTATTTTACATTCTCAATTCGGGATGACCAGATTTATTGGGCTTCACCGGCCAACCAGCTTCCCTCCCTCTTTCTCCGTGTGTCCGCCTTCCTATTCGTGTATATATATATACACTTTCGTTCTGAATAAACTGCAAAAAAAGAAAAAGAAAAAAAAAATTGGAATCAACTACAAGCTACATACAAGCGAAAAAAGAAATAAGGGATGACGATTTCTCGATTAATTTTCCGCAAGACTATCGTCAAATTACACATTTTCCACGACTGGGCACACAAAAACTTCGTCAAGAGTTCGAATACTTATACCTCGAGCCTCTAACGAGAGAGAGAGAGAGAGAGAGAGAGAGAGAGAGAGAGAGAGAGAGAGAGAGA